ACACACACACACACACACACACACACACACACACACACACACACACACACACTTTTTCTAGTACAGATCCATAGGTCAGCTTTGAACAAAACTGTTGGCATATACTTGACACTGTGTACCTGAGTCCCAACTAAAAGTTCAATAAAAAGTTAAAATGTAAAACCTTACACAAAAGGATCAAAATTAATCCTGGATAGGAAGTTTTAAAAATGACTGTGTCTGTAAGGATTGCACGTATGGTGCTGAAGGTGTGCTCACATTAGATATATTTGAACATGTGTGACATGATGTATATCTGATAAAATGAAGAGGACATTGAAACCTGAGTATTTAGTCCTGTTTGGTTGTAAAATCTTTGTGCTGGTTGGGCAAGGGATGTGTGGGTCATCTGTTTCTGTCTCTGTTACGATCTCATTTGTGCTAGATTTGTGAAAAGTTCCTTTACAACAGGCCTGTCCTGAGCCCTAGGAACAGAGTGGAAACTGATACCCACTGCTTCCTCTTGGTGTGTGCTCATGTGGGACGGACAGAAATGACACACGTGGTGGAGATTTTGCAAATATTTCAGTATCAAAGAGAAAGTAGTGTATGATGAGTGAGCTCAAGGACAGAAAAAAAAATGTGAAGTACATGTTCTCTTAAGAGGATAACATTGGAGAGATGTGAAATCAACACAAAGACACTGACGAGGCAGGGTCAGCCACATGAAGGACATGCAGAGTTCTTTGTCCAGCTTTCAGTGACAATGGCTCTCATAGCCACTTGTATTTGGAAGTTCGTTTCTCAGTCAGGGAACTGTTTTAGGAAGGACTCATAACCGTGACTTTATTGGAGGAGGTTTGTCACTGAGGGGTTTCAAAAAGCCCACACCTGGCCCACTCTTGAACGTTCTGCCTCCTGCTTGCAGATCAAGATGTAAGCTCTCACCTATTGCTCCATTTTCATGCTGCAGACACAGTCACCACCATGATGATCATGGACTAACCCTCTGAAACTGTAAGCAAGGCCCAATTAAATGCTTTATCTTACATGTAGCCTTGGTCATGGTACCTTTTCACAGCAATACAATAGTAACTAAGACAGTCCTCTTCTGATTCCATTGAAATTCTATAGGTATATGATAAGTCAGGGAGATTAGCCACCTTAAGAACATGCCAATGATCTTTCCTGCTTCAACTGAAATTCTATTATAGGTATGCAAAATATAAGAGGTCATAAAGATAATATGTGTGTATATAAGAAATCATCACACCAAATCAGGTAGAAACATATTCTCAGCACCTCACCTAAAATTAGGATTAATAGCAAAGGAAAAGCAGGACTTTCAAGTATCACACATGTATTATAACACATCCCACAAAATTCCGTTTCATTGATAAACAAACTACAAACACCCCTTACTGCTAGGCATTCAGACTAAGTGACCAAAACCCCAGAGAGCTGCATACCTCTTGTCTTCTATGACTTTTTTCAGTGTAAGTGCAAATGTCTCTGCCTTGAGTGTCTCTAGCTGAACAGAAACACCAATTTTCTTTGCTTCTACTAGGACCATGTTTTTAGGTTGGTCTAAAAAGAAGGTAATCCCCACCATGTGTACTCCATGCTGGATGGCCTCCATTAGGCTATTTGTTCCCCCATGGGTGACAAAAAGACGAATTCTAGGATGAGCTGTTGCAAAAGAGAAAGATGGTCCAATATTTCACTATCCAAGTTTCTGATACCAAGTAAAGCACCAAACCCAAGAAATACCAATGTGCTGGGAAGAATAGATTTACTGATGTTGCTTTTGAGATTTGCAATGTTCCAGGATGTGATATCCAGTCTTTTGTTTGCACAGAGATGCCTTACTTTATTCAAACAACATAGGACCTAGAGCCTAGGGACAGCTACAAGGAGAGTGACAAGCCAGGAAAGTTTCCTTGTCCTTCTATTCATCTTCATCTTCTCCACTGATGCTTTCTTCTTCACTTATCTCATCTCAGCCTTCTCTCTTTTTTTCACATCTGATCTCTCATAAATCTTATCTCTGTGTGTTATCTGCTCTGTTTTAAGAGAAGCTTACAGAAGGGGATGGTAGACCAGGAACTCCTGTATTTACAGATCTTGACTGTTGGTCCATATTGAAAGCTACCAAAAATTTCTTATGATCATAAAGAGATCATCCCAAACTATATCTCACTTAAAATCTACCCATATTTCCTGGAAATCAAGTCTTTTTCCTATTGTGTAACCTGTGATTTTACTGAACAGAGATCTATATGAAAAATATTCCAGTTTCTTTTGAGTCACAGTCTAAGGTACATAATTCAGATTCAGCCATTGAGTGTAGAAACTATGGGTCTCCAAAAAGTCACACAGAAACAAATAATTTGAGAGTATGTGGCTTTAGGGAATTCTCTGTTGCTCAAGAAATCAGTGTCTCCATATCATACTGTAAGCTTACTTGGGTTAGCACTCAAATACCTCCCTACGACCTCAACCCTCCAATATTCATGTTGGAAATACCTGAGTTTTCTGTACTTTTCTGACAACCAAGATGTTTCTGCATGCTTACATTCATGTGTGTGTTTGTTTAAAAATACCAAAGATGTCTCACATCATTGTGAGAATAGCGACAACAAATGGTGGCAACTGCCCCAAGGAGTAGTTTTAGCTCATATTGGTCAAGATTGTGTTGGAGTGATCAGATCAGTGTTAAAAACTGTTGAGTCAAGGCTACATATCTATTTTGGGTCTTGAGATCAGTTTGAGTTGAAATGGACAAGGAAGTTGCTACTATGGTCGTCTAGAGTACAGCCCGATTCCTCCAGCAAATCTAGCTCCTTTTGCCTGCCTGTTGGAGTTATATCTTTACCTATCAGCAGCCTTTTCTTCTGCAAGTCCAAGCACTCAGACATCAGTTATCTACTAAGTCCCAAAGCACATTAACAGAAATAAAGTAACAGGTCTAGGAGGTGCTTACCCAGAAGGTCAGTCTGGGGAAGCCAATCCATGATTTTGACATTAGGAGCCATTCTGACATCTTTGGGCCAATGAGCATCCTTACATGCCCACAGTACCCCTTGAGAGAGGCGAGCAAAGGCACTGTTCATCTCCTTAATAAGTTCCTTGGTCTGATACTGGGTTGCTAAGGAGCCCAGTGCCACAAGGACAAAACCTGAGTCTCCAAACTTAATGATAAAATCCTCTAAGTCCTAGAAGAAACATAAAGGAAAGATGGCAAAACAAAAAGTAGTTTGTAAAAGCCAAGGCAGCTATAATATGAAACAAGACAAGGTATCGAATAAACACAGGCTTTGGTTGATTCTGTTCTACATGATAAATCTCCTTTTATAACCCCTGTATAGCTGTATCTGAGGTAGTTATTGCATTGATTAGCAGTCAACTCTTCACCATTGGGCTCTTATGATTTGCTCTTCCAAGGAAATACATATTCAAGACTTTATTGGAATAACAGATTCCTATTGCTTAAAATATAAGCTCTGGAGTTCACTAGTTGCTAAGGACAATTTTTGGTTTAGTAACTTGAGGTGCACCCTAACTATTTTTGGCATCATTTGTATTATTTTATATTCATGCTAGAAATATTGTAAGTGTACAATATTTCTTCGCTTGCTGTGTTACAGAATGTCTTTTCCTCTGGTGTTGAGTTCCAGCTTTGGTTACAGAGTAATGATAGATTCATAGAATGAGTTGAGAAGTCTCTTTTCCCGTGGAACCACCACAAATAGTTGTAAAGGAACTGGCATCAATTCTTAAGTGTTTCACTTTATTTACCAATTAATCTATGATATATCAGACTTACTTAATGGAAGACTTTATTATTGTTCAGTCTAATTTAATCTCATAAGTTTAAGATTTTCTATTTTTTCTTGAGTCAGTTATGTTAATAGACATGCATAGAAATATGTTCCCTCATATAGATCACCTAATTTAATGATATATCACTTTT